GAGCTCATTCCCATCACCAATGGAGGACTCTCTATGACCCGAGCTCATTCCCATCACCAATGGAGGACTCTCTATGAACCGAGCTCATTCCCATCACCAATGGAGGACTCTCTATGACATGAGCTCATTCCCATCACCAATGGAGGACTCTCTATGAACCGAGCTCATTCCCATCACCAATGGAGGACTCTCTATGAACTGAGCTCATTCCTATCACCAATGGAGGACTCTCGATGATCTGAGCTCATTCCCATCACCAATGGATGACTCTCTATGAACTGAGCTCATTCCCATCACCAATGGAGGACTCTCTATGAACTGAGCTCATTCCCATCACCAATGGAGGACTCTCTATGAACTGAGCTCATTCCCATCACCAATGGATGACTCTCTATGAACTGAGCTCATTCCCATCACCAATGGAGGACTCTCTATGAACCGAGCTCATTCCCATCACCAATGGAGGACTCATTTATATAAAAAAACACGACTCAGAACAGAAAACTGTAAAATTTTGTTTATTCTACAATATTGGTGGAAATTGATTATCACAATAAAATTAATTTTCTATCAATATAACATCTTTTATAATCGGAATAAATATACATTATATGTGTGGCCACCTAACTCTAAGTAGCTTCACCTTTACATCCCACAACCAACTAATCCCTGAGGTGAAATAGCCCACCCTGCCTTTGAGTTCCCCCACAAGCTCCTTGAGGTTGGGGGGGGGGAGGGGGCACTATATTTTTGGTGCCCAACGTGGGGCTCGGTTGCATTGTGTCTAGCTGAGGGACACGTGGCGGCTTCTTTCTGCTGTTGTTGGGGGAGAAGAAGCCACGTTGCCGAGATTCAGAGTGAGAAGCTCAGTTTGGAGTGGACAATGGCTGAATTCCCTGCGAGTGCTTCTCCGTTTATGGAGGCCAACTGGGAAGTGTCCACTCCAGGCATAACCACCTTGGCTTGGCCTTGATCATCACCGATACAGAGATCCGATTGCAAGCCTGTGGTGGTTTGGTGTTGTATACCATTGGCACATCGGGAGACATTCGGCTAGTCTGCCCAGAATGTAATGGACTGTCCATGAATACTCAACCTTGGTCTCATTGCCTAACAAGTGGGGAGTATTGGACAACGATCGTACGGCCAACTCTACCGCCATGTGCATTTCGAGTGGATTGGGCTACCGGAAGAATGGTTGAAGACACCCGCATCACCAATCCAGCTGACCCAGAGAAGCTACTGGGAGACCACAGTCTTCTACTACAAGACCGAGTGTATCACCGACGTTGTGAAGGTTTCCTGAGGGGGCTTGTTACACGGTGGAGCCCACATCTATACTTGGGTCTGTTCCTGCAAGTCTTCCTTCTTGATCCAGAAGGACATCCTGGACCTGGGGACAGACCGGGGTCATGGAGACTGTTACCCCCACCATTACCGTCACCACCACTATGGTTACCACCACTACCAGCCAGACTGAAATTACTAGGGGGAGATGTTCCTTCTGATAACCAAGTGATGACTCCCTTGAGGTGGGACCATCAGAGTGGCAGTGGAAGAAGCTAGATATCAAGGACTAGGGAGAGGTCTCTGCAGAGGAGGACCAGTCATGGGTGCTGTGCACGGCTGGAACATGCAGTGCTCCGGTGTGGTCTGAACTGGAGTTGGGAGACCCAGAGTCGACTGAAGCCAACGGTTCAAGGGACTGCTAGTTGGCCGGACTTTGACCACCTTCTTCTCTTTTCTGGTCTTCTTCTGGTCACAAAGTCATCTGAGGCCTGGTTGTGGGGATCTTAAAGAATTGCCAGATTACAAAGCTCCCTCCACCGGAGAGTCCCTCAAGAGTATGGACTTCATTACACTTACTTGCCTAAGTCTGCACTGGAGGAAGTTGAGAATGAGAAGAAGGGTGTATGGAGGCCATCTGGGACTTTTTGGGGGGTACCTAAGTCCTACAGGAAGCCCAGACTGTCACCTCTGTACATCTCAATGTCCAGGAGATGTCTCCTCCCATTGAGCTACGGAAGGCACATCTACAAAGAAGAAGTGGTCATTAAGAGGTCCGGAAGTAAGGACTTTGTGTACCGGATCGCTTCCTGGGACACAGAATGGAGACCGGTCACACCGCCAGACCCCGGCTTCTACTGGTGAGCTGTGGGAGGTCAAAGTCTACCTCTCTGCAGTTTCAATGTGTTCCTGCTGCCAGTCCCAAACCTGTTTAAGGGAGAAGAACCCTCAGTACCCTAGAGTCCCTAAAAGGACTGAGAGACTTCTATATTGTTTGTGTTGGCCCTTTAGGACTTCAAAATAGTTAGTTAGGATACTTAGGACATTTGAGTGTAGCCACCATGCCCCAAACATCGAATGATGATGTGTTATGAATATCTGTGTCTCCTTGGCCAATTACCAGGAGGTTCATGCTGGGAGAGGACATAAATATTCGGGGATGACCACATGAAAGTCTCTTTCCCCTTCGAGCTCATTTCTCCCACTCTGGACCTGGGTAAAGTCGTTCAGCTTTGTGAAATCTCTGGTGTGTAACCGGATTTTCATTGTGAAACATTTCCCGCACTCTTGCATGAGAACCACCGCTCACCTGTGTGAGTTTTCTGCCGTTGAACAAAACTTCCTTTGACACTGAAACATTTCCCACACTGGGAGCAACAGAAATGACACACACATGTGACGTCACTCGTGTGTATGAAGTGTTTGTTTGTTTTTCAGCTTGAAACATTTCCCAAACTCTCAAAACAAATAAAGATGTGAATCCACTGGTATGTACGAAGTGAATTCCACTCCTTGAAACTTTTCCCACACTCTCAACATGCGAAAGGAGGCTCACCGGTGTGAATTCTCTGGTGCATAAAAAGGCTGTTTTTTTTCGGTGAAACATTTCCCCAACTGATTATCAGTAAGGATTCTCTCCCATGTGAATCCTCTGATGTGTACAAAGTGAATTTCTCTGCTTCAAACATTTCCCACATTGTGAACATAAAAAATGGCGGTCACTCGTTTGAAATTTCTTGCGTAGAAGAAGGTATCCCTTCTATGTGAAACAGCTCCCGCATTCAGAACATGAAAAAGGGCTTCAACTGGTGTGAGTTCTCAAGTGTATAAGAAGGTTTACTTTCTTAGTGAAACATTTCCCGCACTCTGAACACGAATAGGGACGCTCACCCGTGTGACTTCTCTGGTGAGTAACAAGGTGTCCTTTCTGAGTAAAACTTTTCCCACACTCTGAACATGAAAAAGACCGCTCCCCAGTATGAGTTCTCTGGTGTAACAAAAGGTTTCTTTGCGTAATGAAAGAATGCCAGCATTCCGAACATGAAAAAGGACGCTCACCCGTGTGAGTCCTCTGGTGTATAAGAAGGTGTTGTTTCTTAGTGAAACATTTCCCGCATTCCGAACACGAAAAAGGACGCTCACCCGTGTGGATTCTCTGGTGTGTAAGAAGGTTGCCTTTCTTAGTGAAACTTTTCCCGCACTCTGAACATGAAAATGGCCGCTCACCCGTGTGACTTCTCTGGTGAGTAACAAGGTTTTCTTTCTGTGTGAAACTTTTCCCGCAAACCGAACACGAAAAAGGACGCTCCCCCGTGTGCGTTCTCTGGTGTATGAGAAGGTTGTCTTTCTTAGTGAAACTTTTCCCACACTCTGAGCATGAAAAAGGACGCTCGCCTGTGTGAATTCTTTGGTGCAACAGAAGGTTTCCTTGCATATTGAAAGATTTCCCGCACTCCGAACACGAGAAGGGGCGCTCACCCGTGTGAATTCTCTGGTGTATAAAGAGGTTTTGTTTCTTGGGGAAACTTTTTCCACACTCTAAACAGGAATAGGGGCGCTCACCCGAGGGAGTTCTCTGCCATTTAGGCGGTGCTTTGTTTTTGGCGTGGGATTCCTTCAAATCCAAACATGACAATGATCGCTCTACTGGGTGACCTCCATCGGGTAAAGAAGGTTCCTCGGGGTTAGATGGATCTGTTGATCTCTCTGCACTCTGAGATCTCAGATGGAGGTGTGATGTCATGGGATGGGAGGGATCAGAAGGTTCCTCAGGATTAGAGGGATCCATTGATGTCTCTGAATGGGAAGGTCGGTGATGTCTGTTATGAGGAATGGGATTCGCTCCCGGAGAACGTTGTGTGATGTCATCATCTTCTGTCTTCACATCTGGAGGTAACATTGGATCTCCCTCCGAGGAATTCAGAACAAAACGTCCATCTGTAAGAAAGTACAAAATTCAGAACATTTCCCACTCTTGTGTTCCGGAGTCATAGACGTTGGTGGAGCTCCAAGAAGACCCTCAGAGCTCTGCCATGGAATTGTGTGCGACTATCACCACCGACCTATGACCCCCAATCCAGATACAGGATCCACCACACCCAAACCTCACCGAGGACCAGAACTTCTACACTGATGTCATTGTAACTGTGAGAATGGAGATGGACCTTCCCCCACCTCAATTCTAGGAGTCCTACTGAAGACCAGAGATGGACCTTCATATGGTGTACAGTATCTCCTCCTCATTTGTTGGTCACATGACGTTATATTGGGGAATGGAGATGGACCTTCATATGGTGTACAGTGTCTCCTCCTCATTTGTTGGTCACATGACATTATATTGAGGAATGGAGATGGACCTTCATATGGTGTACAGTATCTCCTCATTTGTTGGTCACATGACGTTATATTGAGGGATGGAGATGGACCTTCATATGGTGGACAGTATCTCCTCCTCATTTGTTGGTCACATGACGTTATATGGAGTGTCTATGACTCACCTGTGCTGATATATAAGGAAGGATCCTCCTCTTTAAGAGTCACCACCATCCCAGCCTCTTCCGTAATCTTTTGATCGCCCCTCATAGAAGTCTCTTCTTCCACTTTAACCTCAATGTTCATGTCCATCAGTTCTTCACGCTGGAATGGCCACAAAGAAACAGAAATCATATTTGCTTTTTTTTAATGAAGAAAGTCTTTGAAGTTCCCGGTGCTCAACTCCAACTACCTGTATACGGCGCGCGTAGTTGTGGTCTTCCTGGGTGGGATCCCGGGAATACAGGGGGCGGGGACATCGCTCATGGTGGGGGATGGTGAGATCTTCCTGGGTGGAGTCCTGGGAATACAGGGGGCGGGGACATCTCTCTGGTGGGTTCCTCTTACTGGATCCATCTGTAGGAAACACACACACTGACTGATACATTGTTTCTATGTGTGTATCAGATGATGGGGGATGTAGGCGGAGCCTCCGTACTGCTCTCTCCTCTTACCCGGTGATGTGAGGGGCGGGGCATTCTCCATCATGACACCATTTCACCCTCTTCCATGGACTGATCACCCCTCACATATGTCTCTCTGGGTGTAGATCTACCATTTATAGTCCAGTCTCATGTCACCGGAGGTCGGGAAGGTCTCCTGACTCTCCATTGTTTTCATTCTATCTCCATATTGTATACATGTAAAATGTGAAGAGTTTCTGCTCATGACTCACCTGAGCTGATACCTGGAGAAGGTTCCTCCTCTTTAATCTTCACCATAATCACGTCCTCCTCCGTAGACTGCTGACCGCCCGTCACATACGGCTCCTCCTCTTCTTTTTTCACCTCAACTTTGATATCAATCAGCTCTTCACCCTAAAACCACAAAATGATAAAGACCAACATCCTCAGAACATGACCACCAACACCTGGAGACCTCAGAGATGGTTATCTCATACAGTATGGAGTCATTTTGAGGCTGGAGATGCTCCAACTTGACCTAATTGATCATGGTGGGGGATGGTGAGATCTTTCCGTGTGGAATTCCGGGAATACAGAGGACGGGGACATCTCTCTGCATTCCCTGGAGACCTCAGAGATGATTATCTCATAGGTTATGGAGTCATCTTTATGTTGGAGATGATCCAACTCCACCGACCTGATCATGGTGAGGGACGTCTTCCTGGGTGGAATCCCGGGAGTACAGAGGACGGGGACATCTCTCTGGTGGGTTCCTCTTCCTAGGAAGCTTCAACATAACATCCTTGTGGAGGTCCATGTGCCCTCCCGAAAGTTCCATCATCCCACCACGCTCCTCATCCTTCTTTTTCAACTCTTCGATGTTGTTCATCTCTCTTGCAGGACTTTCTGTCTTTGCCGTATATATAATGTCTTATCTTATGCTTACATCACTTCCTGTGTATTGCTTCGCTTCCTATGTTTATATCGCTTCTTGTTCTTACATCACTTCCTGCCCTTTTGTCACTTCCTGTCTGAGCCTTCTACGCACAGCACGTCAGAGGGCCATCTTGTGGTGATTGTTATGCCGTCATCCTCCGTTATGTGTTATCATTTCGTCCTCCGTCTTGTGGCTCACTCTTCCGTCATGTTGTCTACGTCATGACGCACGACTACAAAATCATATTTGCATCTTTTTTGAAGGCCCCGATCCATAATTTCGTACCCCCCGGGTGTGACGTGACGCCGTCGTCCTGTGACTGGCCGGTGGGAGGAGCAGCCGCAGCAGACGTGGAAATTGTACCCTTGAAGAAACTGAAGGCGAAGCCCTCAACTTGGTACAAATGGGCCGGAGACGCATCAGGCCCAATTGGACCCGGACCCCCAACAGATACTAGTATCGGTGCCGATACTGAGTATTTGGGCAAGTACTTGTCCTCACCCAAATTATTATTCAGGATTTATATAGCGCCAACAGTTTGCGCAGCGCTTTACAATATAATGAAGACATTACAATCACAATACAATTTAAGACAAGATGGTAAGGAGGGCCCCGCCCCCGAGGGCTTACACTCTAAAAGGGGAGGGGCCAGTGATACATGAGGAGGGAGCTGCGCGGGGATGATTGTTTGAGAACGTGATGGTTCAATGGTTAGGGTGAGGAGGGATCGGCTTCCCTGAAGAGATGAGTCTTAAGGGATCGTCTAAAGGCATCTGTGTGGGAAATAGACGGACAGGTTGGGGTAGAGTTCCAGAGGATGGGAGA